ACCGACGACATAATACTGGACACGATATTTACGGATACTTAAGAGATCGATTAATCCCACCTAAAAAAGAATAAAATATTTCTTCCTATAATTATCAAGAAACATTTACAGAAATTGCGCGCATATAATTTGTAAAAGCAATTTATCACCTGCATTACGGTGATGCCCACAATTGAATTCAATATATCGTTAAAAATATTCTTATGTTTACTCGTTAATATGTCAATAATATACATTCCATGCATTTTTAAAATCGCATCGCATTTTTCTACGGTTTTGGAAAATACTGGGAATTGAAGTAGCGCTTGACCTGTTAACATGTAAATTCGAGGTTAATTGCAAGCAATCACTTCTGTAACATATGCAAAAAAGGATATGTACCCATGCCAATCCATTGCGATCCAATTCCAGAGAACACAAAACAAATCGGTTTTTTTTCACCTGAATAATATTTTATTTCTTTTGCCGCTTTGATCGGCGTTTTGGATTCGACAATCACGTATCCTCTGTAAGGATGATTTTTCATCTCGTCTGCGTAAAGATCATGCAATAGCCGTACATATTCGACGTCTATCGGCTGGTTTTCGATCTAACATACAAATTTTTGCTATGTGAGTGTGCTTTTATTGACTGTGTAATCGCAAAATGTTTATATACCTCATTTAGAAATGATTGAACTGCTTGTTCGGTACGTCCAGACAGGACAACGAGTCTGGGCAGATTATCATTCGGCGCTCCTTTATTGATCTTTTCTTTTGTGTTACTTCGCATCAAGATGTGGCAATTGGCTCCACCAAAACCGAATGAATTGATACCCATAAATCCAGAAATCCACGGTGTTGTGTTGGTCACCACGCGTATAGTTCCATCTTCAAAAGCCTTAACACCTTTCCGTATTTGTGTAAAGTTTATATTTGGCGGGATTAAGCCAGTTTCCATTGCAATTATCACCTTACGAAAAGTTAATTATATGTTAACTTGTTGCTTCTTATTTTTTTATTATATTATTTATTAATTGATATATGTTTTTTATCTTTTTACCATGATAATATTAATGATTTAGCAGCGAAAATAATGTTATACAAATTTTTGTTTGTAAAGTATAAAAGTTTTACAAATCTACGAT